TCAGTAATTATTAGTAATTATATAACTTTGTAATATCTACCAAAATTTTGCCTATGCCTGGGTCTATCCTCTGGAGCTGCGCCTGCAGCAGAAGGGCAAGGGGATGTGACCTTCCTAAAAAAGCTGCTGCCAGATCAACTGTCCTTTCCAAGGTGTTGCCTTCTGGATTAATTTTTAACAATATATTCTAGAGGTTAAATACCTTTGTTGCCAACGCAATCCATTGGTTGTCTGGATAGCGACAAGTGTCTACACTCAAGTTGTCATTGTCAAGCCTTTAAGACGTGTTGTCGCTCCTAGGAGGTCGTCAAGAAGTATTTAAAACATAAACACGAGACAGGAACAAACATTTCCACCAATAAATAAAACATTGTGGCCATACAAAAACACTAATGATCACGGGGCAGCTGCGGGTTCAGGATGTATGTCTAGACTGACCGTCACCGTGTCCTTGCCCTCCCCTCCTTCCACTAGTATTGTCAACCTGCCCTTCGATACGAGTATGAGATTTTCAAAGCCGGCAAGAAATCCCCCAACACATTTAAAAACATTGTTTGAGTCAGACCCATTTACGAAGCAGCCTCATTCATAGAAAGATTATCAGAAGACAATGGAGCTGATAACAACAATACGAGGGGCAGGAGGGGAGGAAAAGGTCACGGTGACGGTCAGTCTAACACCCGGAACCCGCAGCCACACCGTGATCATTAGTGTTTTAGTATGGCCATAATGTTTTATTTATTTGTGAAAATGTTTGTTCGTGTCTCGTGTTTATGTTTTAAAGACTTCTTGACGACCTCCTAGGAGCGTCAACACGTATTAAAGGCTTGACAATGACACCTTGAGTGTCGAGACCGGTCGGTCGCTATCTAGGCGACCATAATGGATTACATTGACAACAAAAAGGTATTTAACCTCTAGAATATATCGTCCTCTCCTTCTTATATCAATATTCACGTGTCTACGAGAAATACAAGACATCATTGGCTGTTTGAACTCAACTATGCTGGGACGAACTATCTGCAACAGTTCTGTCCTTTGTATGATGCGCATTGGAAGCGGGATCCACGTCGACTTCTTCACTGGCACCATGGCAGCGTTTTGACGGGCTGCAGCAGAGACTTAAACGTTTGCCATTGTATTTTCAATTTTGTTGTATTGTTGCTGGTTTTTTCCTTGGTCGTGTTGTGTAATTTCTATTTCACTGATATGTTTGCTTAACAAGTGTTTTCATGGGTTGGTTTCACTTAATACCTTGGTGTTTCGTTTCGTCCCCATACGGGAAGAATGAAAATGATACCTAGTACATGATGTTCAGAATTTTGGGTGTTACATAAATCTAACTGAAAATGTGTCTATATTAGAAATGTGTACTCTTGCCAATTAATGTGATTAAAAAGCTTAGCAAAGTTTATTTTCCACATTAATGAATTTTTCAAGAATATTTCCTATCCAACAGCATATGGCGGTGCATTGTTACGGCCCTGCTCTTCTTCTTATGGTTACGTTTCATTACTGTGAAATTACTGTGTTATCATACAATCACTGTGGCAATGGAGAAACAGATTGTTTTTTATATCAATTTTCTTTCTTTTTAAAATCTATTGAAAAATGTAGCTCGGTTGTGAACAAAGTTGCGTCAAATGAACAGTAATGGAGCTTCATAATTTAAATGATGTTTAATGTGAGTGATGTTTAAATTGTCTGAGTAATACATCAAATGATCAAAGTGTATTTTTGATCATTTTAAATAAATCCTAAAGGTTTAACTTTAGAGCTAAAACAATGTTTAGGAAACCAACCTGTGAGGTCAAATAACCAATAAAACATCTGCAGGTTGTTGTCTGTAAGATTATTGGTCAAAACCAATGAAATAGCAAGTGAAAATTAAAAAGTAAACATTTGTGATATATGATTTGATTTCTAACAGGACTATTCAATAACCCACACATATAAAAATAGGCTTATTTTATTGATTGATAATACAGTTTCAAGTACACATTAGAATCAAATAATTCATACATATCTTATCAAGTGTGCCTCAGATAAAATTTATTTTAAAATCTGATTTACTTCACAGACAACTTTTATAAAATCTAACAATATAAACATATATAAATTTAAGTTTGGCTCCAACTCAAATTCTTATTTAATATATCAACAGTAATAACAACACTAGACTAAAATCAACATCTTTACAAAGAATTATTCAAAATATAACAAAATCTACAGTAAAATATTTACAATAATTTAATATTGACTAATAATGTTTTATACACAACTTACAATTAATTGTATCTAGGCCAAATTATGAGCAATAACTGACTCATGAGCCTTTTTCTTAGATTAACCATTTGGTAGCAAATATGTGTTCTCACTATGTATAATATTTTATGACAACTATATTTTATGTACAATACAGCATTATTTTACATAAGCAAATTGAAAGACACACATAAAACTAATAAAGGTTTGTGCTTATAATATAAAACCCCTGATCAGATTTGAAAATGCATTATCCCTAGGAAAACTTATTGAGAATATTTCTATCAAAACTGTAATGGCACAATAATAGAAGAGATAAAAATCAAAATGGTTACTTTGGATTATTTAAACGTAACTGAGATGATAATCAACAAAAAGATCACAAAAGTTTTAGATTTTAGATAAATTTAAATCAATTTTTAATAGAAAGCTCTAGACCTTATCTAAAAAATAAGTTAATTAACAAATTGGTTTTAATGCAGCTAAAATAGAAAATTACAAAAAGGTGCTTTAACGTTATAATTAATTTATTTTTGTTACCACGTATGTTAGAGTTAAGCACCTGGAATTACCTTTGTGTTAAAAGAAATTGTATGGTTGTATTGTGATTCTAGTTTTAATCACATATATTAATGGTCTACATATAGTATAAAGTTATATATATACATAGTTGCCTTGGTAAACATAAATCCCTTCTATGAATACAAATGATTGGCACCAACATAATACATATGTATTTAAGTTCTGTTATAAATACAACTCTGATTTGGATAAATGTTTAAAAGTATGAGACCAAGCTAAGATTGCAATAGAATATTATAAGTAACCAATTGTTAAAACTTAAATCAAGCAAAATGAGAAGAACATTTTACAAAAGTAGGCCTATTATAATAATTAATGATAGCATGTACCACAACACGATATTTCAACTCTTAGCTGTTTTATTATCACTAAGTCTACATACTGAATGGGGTTTTCAGGACAGGATATAGTCCAGCTAACTTACAAAAGAAAATTAGAGTATAGTTAAGAAAGGTCACTTCATCACAACAATGATATTTTGTCTTAGTGTAGGAATTCTTTAGAGCGTGGATTCAAGTGGAATGTCATGTTTTTGGAATGATATAACAAGGTTTTCTGGCTATAGATTAAGGAACAACTAACTCATATATTTTTTAACAATTACCGTATGCTTGTTGTGTGAACGGTGAACACTCAAACAGTGTACAATCAGTATGTACTAATCACCCTAAATGACATAAAGACATTGCAAGTTTTGTATTGAGGGAAGACTAACATGTTCATAATAAAAGGTCAAAGTCCAATCATGATATCCCCTTCTGCAGATTGAACATAAAAAGAACAGTTTCCCTATGTTGACAATTGGGATGTACATTACAACTAACTGCCTCACTTGAAAATTATTGGAGTCTCAGATTTTTAAAACTAGCTGAGAGAGTGGCTACTGGTAAGGCCCATGACTTGCATATAAGGATGTTATGTCGAGCTAGTCATTCATGAGGGAGGTAATTACGGTTACAGATATTACCAAGATTGCTATATTATTCAGTAAAGTTCTGTAAGATCACAATAAGTCACATTCACAAAGTCCATTTATTTTTTGTTAATAAAAAACATCCACAATGGGAACCATGACAGCAGAATGAGAGTCAATGATATGGATTCAAAGCCAACAATGGTGTAAAAATTTACCTGACTTTTCCGTAAACATCATCATAAGACCGAAACTCACAATAAGGGCTTTGCTTCTAGGCTTTGTGTGTGAATATGACCGGTAAACTTCAAACACACAAGCTTGGTTAGTTTGTTAATATTTGTTTGTAGTTTAAATTGCAAAAAAAAAAAAAAACTTTTGATACCTCAAAACCGGATACCCTCTATAATAACTCCAGAAAAATAGGACATACATTAAAGTTAACAATCCAAAACTGTTTCTCTTTTCTTAGAAATCCATTATTGGTCCATTGCAATATTAATGTAAATACCCCCGCCGCAGCAAACCTGCAGACTAAGCGAATTTCCATTTGACTGATTGGATTTACACTGAAATGTCTACTTAAAAATATAACATTTATTCTCTATTTAAATAGAATTAGTTTAACTAGTACTTAGGTTTGCTGCATCAGGGAGGGTAAAACTGTTTTTTTTTTTGTAAAACGTTAATAGTTAGTAAGAAATAAAAACATTTTCCAAATTTGATCAAAATATGTTCATAAACAAGCAAACTACAACAATATACTTATTCTCCATAAGAATAACATGGGAATTTTAAATTTACAATTTTTTGGAATTTTCTCCGTAACCATTAGGCGCATAATAACGCTTCAATATACTAAATTATTTGTTTTTTTAAGCTCTACAAAATGGTTTGGAAAGAAATTGCTAAATTTTATGTTTTTTGGGTCAAAAATGGGAAAAACCTATTTTTACCCCATAAAACCCCCCGTAAACCCCCGTTCCCATGGTCCGATCATGCTGGATCGCGAACTCGTTCGAATAAACGTAGGTTTACACGTTTGTACCAAATTTCATCAAAATCGGATCATTTTTGCTCGAGTTATCGTGCTAAGGGACACATATATATATATATATATATATATATATATATATATATATATATATATATATATAAATATATAAATATATAAATATATAAATATATAAATATATATATATATATGAATTTGAACGGATGGTGTTTTTGGCCTCTAGGGACCTCAAAATGAAAAAAAAAATCGGCCCCGCGTCCAGGTCTTACCATGAGTACTACGGTAATAGCTTATTCCCTATATGGGAAATTCGCTAATAATGAAATAGTTTATAACAAAAATATATTTTAATTATAATATTAGTATCGGAAATGTAGTATGACTGGACATTATTTCCTATGGTTGACCGCAGTGAGTATAGCAAAAACAACCGTTTTTATTTTTAACTAGCATTTCTCACCAGTCTACTATCTGAAGAAGTTCTACACTAGGACAAAATATTAGGGTTGGTTCGTGTACCCTATCCTTTTTTTGTATCTTTTGGACTCAAATGGTCTATAGGACAAGGTAACTAAATTTTGTCCCTTAAAAAATAATAAAATAATGAGAAAAGATTTCGTCTTCTTGCAATAACAGGGTTGTAGACAACAACATATACTTTTTGTGCAGAAAAACCAGTTGTACTGATTAAAGTTCAGTACAAAAGTAGCAGTGGCGCCATTGTTAAGAGAAATAATTGTCACGTTGTTGATACAGTGGCAACGGCTCCTCGGGAGATGATAGGTCACTTTCCTCCGACTGTGCCGTGGACTGCGGCAGAGACGCCAGCGCTCTCACTGTCAACAATCACTTAGCGTTAGTCAACAAGATACTAAGCTAACCTGTCACAAACAGAATTCAGTTTTGTCAAATCAAAGCTGAACACAATTTTACTTTAAAACTACTTTTTAGTTTGTAAAAGCACCTTTTTTAAAAGTAGTTCATTGACTGGATTTTTCAATGATGCATATTTTAGTCCAATAGTTAAAAAGTGAAATTTAATTTCTTTCCTTTAACTGAAATTCTGTAGCCTTATATTATAAATTTTGTTATTTCAAAGATCAGTTGTTGTAAGAAAAACTGCAATCAAGATTTTCTTTGAATGATAACAAATATTAAGAAATTTATTTGAACAAATGTTAGATATCCATATGTCCATATGTTGACTAAATAAGCTAATAAGCGGTGCACAATTGAAAAGCACTGAAATTGAAAGTCTAACATTTTGTAATTTTCACTATTAATTGCATTCATACAGAAATATGGCACTACATGAGTTAAATGTGTTTAGGAACAAGAATCTCTCTCAACATCTAAAGATTCCTGATAATTGTTAAAACATTTATGTTGCTTGAATACAATTTAATCGTTTAACATGTGCTATAGCTTGTTTACAATAATTAGGCGGTTTTGATGGGAAGTCCCCCCCCCCCCCTCTCCACGACTTAATGTGTGTTGCAGTTGACGTTTTGGCGAATATCAGCTTTTGGTCTATTGTTTTTAAAGTAGGATCAAGCGGAAGGGATAATTTTCTTCCCCTAAAACTGCCTAAATTGTATGATTAATAAAAATCTTAAGTGTGCTGAAAAATTAATTAAAAGTAAAATAAAAATCAAATCAAACCTTAGTTTATGCAGGAAAAACAAAAGAACGAACACAGCTACAAAAATCAAATCAGTCCTGGTGAGTCCCGGTGGAGGAACCTAGAAGCAAAAACACATGCAGCTACCAAACAACACAAAACATGCTACAAGCAAAACAGACAATACAATGACTGTGAAGTACAGACATAACCTACACTTCAACATTCTAATTTACAAAAGGTTTATGATCCTAATTTATTATTTAAGTGTTTAAAACACGGGTCACACTAGGCTGGCATCAGCGGCGAATTGAAAGAAGCCGCGACTGTCAGCTTAATGTGACCACAAAATTCACAGCTGATACTGAGCTGGCTCAGCCTGGATTGGTGAACCGGTGATGCTGGTGCCAGCTGCTGATCACCAGCGGCTGGCGAACAGCCTAGTGTGACCCGTGCTTAAGCCTGGAGGCTGCACATGAAATATCATGTACTGATTTTTTTTTTTAAATATGGCTTCAGTGAGAGCATATATCAAAAAGGATTTTAAAAAATAGGAGAAAGGTGTATGTGATAATAATCAGAAATCGTTTGATGCCAATTGAAACAATAATCCTATCTTCTTGGTAAAAAAATACAGGCAAGTCAAAGAAAAAATTTAAAGAAACAAATATATCCTTATCAAAACAAATACTGTAATGTGTGATAATAACCTTCAACAGGTTCTCATTCCACAGAAGCAGTTTATTCATTTACAGCAAGCATCAAAACACAAACTAAACACTAAAATTGAGTCTACGCTCCAAAAGATTTTGGCTTAGTATCAAAAATTGTTTTATAGTCATGATTAGTGAGAGCAGCCTTTTAAAGCTTAAGGTTGTTATATTGCTACTTACCAGCCACCATTTTGCTTTTCTCCATTACTTGGTGGGCCAAGATCTGGTTTAACTGCAGCAAATGTTCTCTTTGTCGCTTTTCCTCAGCGACTTTCTTCTTCAAAGTAGAAGATTTCTCTTCTTCAACAGTTTCTGTAAATAGTTGGGATACTGTACTCTTGAAAAGTATTGGGAACATTCTTACAGATCGGTTTATACAGAGCAAATTAATTTACTTACTTATTCAGCAACTGTTCTTAATTTTATAATGACGTCATGGATCTACCAACCATCAATATGGCGTTTAGAACAGTCTCATTTCATAATCAGTATTTAAGCTGCGGGCAGAAAACGTGAAGTATATTCCATCCATTTCGGCTAATGAAGTTTAGACAACCGTTTCTAATACTATAGGTTTTCTTTGTGTGCAACTTGTTCCTAAACAGTTATAAAAGTAACTGGATTAGGAATGTAATATGGTGCCATTGCGAATAGCCTCTGCCTATAGTATTTAGAATTGAATAGAAAATGGGCTTGGAAATAATAGGGACACATTCCAAAAATGTGGTCGTTAGGGACAGCCAGACACAACCACATATTCCAAGGAATCAGTTATCTAAGGAAACAAATTTTACAATAATCAAAAGAACTAATTCCAGGGCCGATTTACCGAATAGGCACGGTAGGTCTCCCGCTATTGCGGCAAGATGTTAATTATTTCCTTCTGACTGTTTCTTGTGGACAATTATCGTTTTCCTTGATCGCGGCAATACATGAACACATTCAGCAGTCGTGAGGAGATTATCACCGTCTTTCGCGAATGAGGCAAAATTCTGATCTTTCCCGTGGTTAAGTGGATATTATCATTGTCTTAACCGATTGTGTTAAAATTCTGATAATCCTCGCAGCCGTGTAGAGTAGACATCATTATTGTAACTGCCGCGATCCTGTAGACACCGTAATAGTCGTGAAGACATCATAATCGTCTCCCTCGGTCGTGAAGACATCGCAATCGTATCTCGCTGTCAGGAAGACATCGTAATCGTCTCCTGCGTTCGTGAAGACATCTTTATAGTCTCCCGCGATTACGCCAAAATGTTAATAGTATCCCGCAGTCATATGGAGATCATTATCGTCTTCCTCAATCGTGGCAAATTTCTGGCTGTTTCCCGCGGTTGTATGGACATTATCTTCGTCTTCTCTGATCGTGGCAATATTCTGATCATCCTTCACGGCTCTGTAGATCTCATTATCGTATTGCGTGATCGCGGTAAAATCATGATCATCTCCCGCGGTTGTTTAGACATTATCATCGTCTCGTGCGATCGCGGCAATATTCTGAACATCCTTTCCGGCTCTGTAGATCTCATTGTCTTACTGCACGATTGCGGTAAAATAATGATCATATCACACGGTCGTTTAGACATTAGCATCGTCTCATGCGATCAAGGCAAAGTTCTGTTCATCCCTCGCGGCCTTGTGGAGACATATCATCGTCTCCCGCGGTCACAGAAACGTCACTCTTGTCATGCTCCATTGCGGTAAATTGACAATTCCAGGTAGAAATAGAATATTCACGCATAATTCCCGGTTCAAAAAAATTCACGCTTAGTTCCCGGATTTCCTCGTTGGTGTACATCCTGTTATATTGCAGAGGGGCGCTACTATTTTAGTTGTGCCTAGAGCGCTGACATAGTCAAAAACGGGCCTGACTAATTCATGAATCAGTTTAATAAATTAAATTTTATGACAAACTCAAACCAGAAAAGATTGAAAACAAATATTTGAAAACCATTAGTTTTTTAGGAAATATCGCATGACTCAGGAATAAAGAAGAGGAAAGTAACACACAACTATAACTTCCTGTCTACTTCTGAAAAAGACCCATTTCATGGGGGGCATCTCCGGGATTCTGCTGCTCTGTTGCCAGCCGATGCTGTATGCAGAGTGCAAACTTGTTGTCTCATCCATCGGGTATTATCTCAGAAAGAACCGAAATACCTGTTGGGTACTAGGCAGTTCACCCTCCTCCACTTTCCAAAAGTCACTTTGGAAATAGGGAGGAAGGGGTTCTCCTATTTTGGCCCAACCATTTACTATGACCTCCTCTAGCATTTCAAGAGCCTTTCGGCCTTCGCTTTCAAAAAAGGTCAAAATGCATTGTAAAGCATGCATGTAATTTTTTGTTGTATGTTTATTCTTGTACATAGTTTGTTTATTGTGTTTATTGATATGACTTGTAAATATTTAGTTTTAGTGACCTGACGTGAGTTATTCTATAAACCAATATTGTATTGAGAAGGGCTCAAGAATAAAGGTATTTTATGATTTGATTTGAGTTATGAATTGTGATGTGTATTTGTTGTGTACTGACAACTGAAATAATGAAATAATGAGTTTATCCCTTCAAAACAAATAAATACAAAATAATACATTCTCTTGGAACTCCGTCGCCACATTATTCAGTACTCGTAGCAAACGTAAAACAAAACAAAAATAAACAATTCTATTTACAACTTAGTGAGTCCAGTCTCTTCACTTGAAAAATACAAGTTGCCGCTCTCTGTGGCGTCCTAAGTATATAGGAATATAAAACTAGAGCTTAAAAAATTTTAAATCCTAAAGTTTAAAGAAATACTGTTATAACTAAAAATTTATTACCCTCTCGTGAAATGGGATAAGTTAACACAACTAACTGCTTGGATAAGTTAGTTGTGTGCCCACTCCTTCCTTTTTGTAAAACTGCCAGTTTGTCATTAATGACGAACCATAAACTATTATTTTAAGAATGCTAAAGTATGGTAAAAACAGCAGTGTGACCCTACCATTAGAGTCCTCGGCAGCGATAGTTGTGGTTTCCGAGAGCATTTTCCTGATGGACTCTGCCTTCTTGTTCCTCCGCTGCTGCTCCTCCGAGGACAGTTCTGGTGTTGACTCAGGAACGTACCTCTCTGGGATGAGGATTTTGCCGGGAGTACCCAGGAGACTGTCTATGGTCTCCGAGGTGTATTTTACCTCATTACGTGAGAGAGTTGAGCGGACGACATCCGGTGTGTTCAGCCTCGGTCGCAACGCCCTCTCCATGTCCAGGTCATCTCTGGAGCCACCCTGACATGAGAAGAAGAATTACAACAATTGACTTTTATTGTTAATTATTTTTGAGACAAGAATATTTTTCGTTATCGAGTTTGCAAAAATAAGAATAAGTTAGAATAACACCACAGTAAGATGAACTGTGGTGTTCAACCATGATCAGAGATAAAATATACTAGCAAATTCTTCTAAATCAGCTAAACAATTTATAGTTTATGTTCCTAAATCCGTATTTACACGAAGCCAGTACAGCAGGCAGGTTATGGGGCTGGCCTCGAGTAAAGGCGGCTTAAATGACATATGTAATGGGTGTTTTGATATTTACTAACATATAAATGCTAGTTCACCATACACATTTTGCTATGCACATATTGCTATACAATAATCTATTTATAAACTAGCGAGACAAAGGACAAGAAGGCTAACCTTAAAAACTTTAGGCATCCCATTTCAAAAAAGGAAAAAAACAAACAAAAAATATAATGTTTCAAGTCCTTTAACTACATTGAGAGTCACTAGATTCTGGACTTCCAGATCCTGAAAAGGGTTCCAATGGCCTCAAATGTTCAGTATTCCTTTTGTGTTGCTTTTGTGAAGAAGGATTCCTACAATTTTGAACGTAAGTTAAAGGTTTATCCTGTCCTTTGTTTCTTTAATTCTCATTCAATAAGGCCTTTCCAATCAAACCTGTTCATAAACTATTGATTTGTGTGTAGCTAGATAAACTTTTACATCCGAAATGAAACACATACTAATAAGTTTTAGTTTATTGCTGTTTACTAATTCGTATAAGTTAGAGCAAACAAAATACATTAAACATACAAAATACAAAACATAACATTGAAGCCAATCTTTTACATTAGTGATTTTTATTAGAAATCAATTAACTAACTAAACCAAGAAGTTTTTTTTTAAGGGATGTACTTCAGCTATCATTCTTATAAAAATTTGAATTTGAAATAATTGAATATTCATTTACCGCTGAGAAGCTGGTATCTATCCTGAGCAAAGGCCGACCGCTAACAGTGTGGTGTCGTCGCTTCTCGCGAGGAACTGCGCGACGGTTGTTGAAGGCCATCTCCTCCACAATCTGCCGTGCAGCTTGGCTCTGGTACACAGGAGACAGCTGACTTGCGTACGCAGGACTGAGGGGTGGAGACAACAATGTGTCACTGCTTCCAAACAGCTGTTCTGTGGCTGACAAAGGCGACGTACTGTCACTGTCCACCTGCAGAACAATACATATTTGGTAACTAATTAAACAGTACATTGCTAAAAATTATGATCAGTTGAATAAATAGCCTGAAGAACAGGAAATGGATTTTCTTGGAATTAAAAAGAAAATGATTTTTTCTTTCAGTTTTTTTTCAAGAATTTTTTTCAAAAATATTATTGAATAGAAAGCTTTGTGGAGAAATCACCTTTCAACAAGTAATGGTATTTCAGGGTTTAGATATTAGAGGCTAAATAGTGCAGATAAAATATATTTAAAACTGTCCCAATACTGAGAGCTTATATTTCTCAGTACAAGAAAATTCAAATAGTATTATAAACACCCCAGATAAGGTATATTCACCATGTATGTTTTTATTGAGAAGAAGTTTTATTGGTTGTGTAAGAAATTTATTTGTTTAAAAAAATCTAATACGGCAAATCTTAATTCAAGATTAGGAATGTTATGCTGTGATAACTAATTGATGGACATTTTCACAAGACATAGAGTAAGTGAAAGCGCACATTTTTTGAGTTGGCTATTCATTGTAGTGGAAAAAATAATCCTTTCTTTTTTATTTTTTATCTCGTTGTGCAGTTAGATCAAATACTGCTTGATTTCACCACTGATTATTTCAGCAACATTAGGTTCTTATACAAATTCTGAATTTAGTTTTGCTATAGATTACGTTTTTACCGTACAGGTTTTAATGAGCAAGAGGAATTGCACAAATTGCAATGAGGTAAATTTTACAGCACTTAAAAGCTGTCTTTGGACTTAGAACAAACTTTACTCTATTTATACTTGAATAATGGTTATTTCCTATTAGAAAGAGGTGTTGATAGTTAGTTTCTAACACTGACCCTAGCTCTCTGTCGGTTGACCAGATTGCGCAGGGCCTGCACAGAGTCTGAGCGAGGCCCGGGGGCTGGGGGGGCTGCAGAGCGGGGGACCAAAGAACCCCCCAACACCTCACTAGGGGGCTCCGGCTGCTCCTCTAGTAACCGACCTAGATTATTCTGTAACAACACAAAACACAAAAATTATAACATTCCTTCGATCCAGAATGTGTTTATAAACCAAACAAAACTTGTAGTGAATTTGAAAAAGCCTACTACTCAAATCAAAAATAAAGTTACTGGTTATACTAAAACTCTAACTATGATAATGAATTGGGACAGAAGATGATTTGGAGGGTAAAAACACAGATAATTGGTTTTGGTTTTGCATGATTTTAATGATTACTTATTTGATTTCTTTTACTATTTTTCAATCCTGCTTTTTGGTAGATCATCCTACTAATATTATAAATGAGAAAGTTTAGATGTATGGATGTATGGATGTATGGATGTATGTTTGTGACAAGTGAACGCGAAAAATACTGGTCGGATTGGGCTGAAATTTGGCATGATGATAGCTCACATTCCCGATTAACATATAGGCATATTCTTATTCCAAAAATCCTTTCGGGCTCCGCCCCAGTGGCTCTGGAGTTTCCCATGTTAACCTTATGAGAAATGGAATTATTGAATATTAACAGCTGTTTCAATTAAACAAGTTGGTTCTGTTCTATGATGTTCAATAGCATTAAAGTTACAAGGATTACCAACAGGGTGCAGCACTATTATTTCTTTTACATTATGACAACAGCTAATTTGCAACCAAAAGGTGAGTGAGCGTAGCGAACGAACTTCAACCTGGAGGCGAGTAAGCGTAGCGAACGAGCTAACCTGAAGGCAAGTGAGCGCAGCGAACGAGCTCCAACCTAAAGGTGAGTGAGCGTAGCGAACGAGCTCCAACCTAAAGGTGAGTGAGCGTAGCGAACGAGCTCCAACCTAAAGGTGAGTGAGCGTAGCGAACAAACTTCAACCAGGACGTGATTGAGCAATGCGAACGAGATAATCTTGAAAATTAAGAAGTTAAACGGGGCAAAGCCCGCGGGTTACAGCTAGTATTGCTATAAGTGGAAGTGTAATTTAAAATAAAAATGAGTGTCATATGAACAAAATGAGAAATAGCGTTGTTACCGACAAAGACCAGCTGTTTTTAATCAGGATCATTTCTTAAAAGCCTAGCTTTATCAATAACAGCTAGGTCCAGTACCAAACCCATAAGCCATTAGAATATAAACATCTGTATACATTTTTGTTTTGTATCTATTACTGAAAGTGATTGAAAAACTAAGGGATTTGTATAGTTAAGAGTTTTATGATTGCACTTATTGGAGATGACAAAATAGTATGCTAGTAAGCTTTATTCATTCACAAAGAAAGTGTATCAGAAAGTTGCTCACGTCTGTGTTGTCAGGCCCATTCTCCTCTATGATGGTGACTCGTTTAGCAGTGGTGGTGGGGGTAAGAGGAATGCCGATATTTCCACTGCGGTCCCGGTCTCGCTGTCTCCTCTCTGACTCTCGCTTCACAATCCTCACCGTCTTGATCTCCTGAGGCTTATCTTTTGGGATGATTCCTGAAAAATAGAAAATTTAAAATTATGGTAGGTTTTAAGCTGATTTTTTGTTTACACGAAAAGAACATTTGTCTGATTTAGATACTGAAAACTCCCTCTTTACAGACACCTTGGAGATGGACCCTTGTCTGGTTTAAAAAATCCTGAATTATCAGATGTTTATAAAAAGATTAATTGATGTGCTAGTTAAAAATTACACAGAAAGTGTGCAAAATTATAAAACAATTGTATAACAAACAATGAATCATCACATAAATATAATCTTTACTTTGCCACACAAACAGGTAGGCTACTTTTATACTCGGCTATAAACAAAGCCAACATGGAAATCTTTTGTCAGTATCCTACAAATATTTAAATGAGAAAGTTTAGATGTATGGATGTATGGATGTATGTTTGTGACAAGTGAACGCGAAAAATACTGGTCGGATTGGGCTGAAATTTGGCATGATGATAGCTCACATTCCCGATTAACATATAGGCATATTCTTATTCCAAAAATCCTTTCGGGCTCCGCCCCAGTGGCTCTGGAGTTTCCCATGTTAACCTTATGAGAAATGGAATTATTGAATATTAACAGCTGTTTCAATTAAACAAGTTGGTTCTGTTCTATGATGTTCAATAGCATTAAAGTTACAAGGATTACCAACAGGGTGCAGCACTATTATTTCTTTTACATTATGACAACAGCTAATTTGCAACCAAAAGGTGAGTGAGCGTAGCGAACGAACTTCAACCTGGAGGCGAGTAAGCGTAGCGAACGAGCTTTGTCAGTACTAGTTATACTCAGATGACTGTTCCAGCCAAATGGATCTGATTCTGCTCTAAATAAAAATTCTAAAGTGGGTAGATTGGGACCTTATATGGTGACAACTATCTGCAATATAAAAAAATACAGGGTGTTGAAAATGTCTGGAACCAACATTATATCTGGTGAGTGGTAAAAAAAAAACAACTGATATTTTGAGTACGGATATACTATGGTTATACCTATCTTTTGGTGCCTTATGAAATTTTTTACCACTTATAGGGAACGTCCTGTGGAGGATGCAGTAAAAAGTTTTAATGGAAGCCTATGGTAAATGATACATCATTTTAAAGGCCATTTTTTCTGAGTAAGGAGCCACAAGTTTCATCTCAAAAGGACCACCCTAGCAAAAATGGCGACTGTTTGAAATTTAAAAACCCACTTATAGGGAACGTCCTATGGAGGATGCAGTAAAAAGTTTTAATGGAAGCCTATGGTAAATGATACATCATTTTAAAGGCCATTTTTTTCTGAGTAAGGAGCCACAAGTTTCATTTTAAAAGGACCACCCTAGCAAAAATGGCGACTGTTTGAAATTTAAAAACCCACTTATAGGGAACGTCCTATGGAGGATGCAGTAAAAAGTTTTAATGGAAGCCTATGGTAAATGATACATCATTTTAAAGGCCATTTTTTTCTGAGTAAGGAGCCACAAGTTTCATTTCAAAAGGACCACCCTAGCAAAAATGGCGACTGTTTGAAATTTAAAAACCCACTTATAGGGAACGTCCTATGGAGGATGCAGTAAAAAGTTTTAATGGAAGCCTATGGTAAATGATACATCATTTTAAAGGCCATTTTTTTCTGAGTAAGGAGCCACAAGTTTCATCTCAAAAGGACCACCCTAGCAAAAATGGCGACTGTTTGAAGTTTTTGAAAATAGAAAGCTTAATTGGTATTTCTGTTAAAAATAAGTTTAGTAAAACAACACAAACAATTTAGTTAAATGTTTTTTTTTCAGTAAGTGTTTATTAAATGTACAGCAAGACAATTATGTTTTATAACTGTATTATTTGTTTTAAAATACTTTTTACATTAACACTTTTTACTGCATCCTCCACAGGACGTTCCATATGAGTGGGTTTTTAAATTTCAAACAGTCGCCATTTTTGCTAGGGTGGTCCTTTTGAGATGAAACTTGTGGCTCCTTACTCAGAAATAAATGGCCTTTAAAATGATGTATCATTTACCATAGGCTTCCATTAAAACTTTTTACTGCATCCTCCACAGGACGTTCCCTATAAGTGGTAAAACATTTCATAAGGCACCAAAAGATAGGTAAAACCATAGTATATCCGTACACAAAATATCATTTGTTTTTCTTTAACCACTCACCAGATATAATGTTGGTTCCAGACATTTTCAAGACCCTGTATAAAAATTAAATACCACAAAAAGCAAAAAACCTATCAACTTTCATTTATTGTAAACAGATAATTTACTTACACACTATATTTTTTAATAACGTTTTTATCGGACATACCAAGACAAGAGAAGAAGTTAAAATGACTCATCACAAAATTCTAAAACACAATAATTAAAAATGTCTTAAGCTTGTAACCTTACAAAAGCGTTAACTACTAAACATTTTGACTTTCATTTAACAACCGTAACGGTTGACCCCTTCCATTACACAACTATTAAATTTACTGTCTAAATGGCAATATAACACAAAGACAATAATAATTTCTGAACCAAAATAGGCAAACAATGAAACTGTTCTGTGTTCATACCAAACAAATGTATCTTACTGACTGCCAGGAGGCATAAATTCATCACACAATAAGCCTAATTAATTCTTCCTGTCAATTAAAAACTTCACAGCAAACATGAAATTCTAGGCAAAATACTTTAAAACTTTAATCTAATAATTTTGTATACAAAATTTTGCAGTAACTCATGATATTTACATATTTATTGAATATATTAAACCCCTGAATTAGTTACTTTTAAGTTGACATAACACTAGGAGGTATCAACAATAATCAATGCTGACAAAAATAGAAGGAAGAATGTAAATAATTTTACTATTTTTATTCAAACGATAAAAGTATTATTGTGATTTATTGGATTGCTGTAAATTTTATTGAATAAAAGTTTGAGTAAATTAGTTTGAAAAAAGTGGTAGTTGCTGAAGCAGTTAGTCTATACTTGAGATGGACTGTGCGAGTAATAAGGACTATGGAGGTAAGACAAATCTTTGACATGAAAAATAGTCCAGGTGTATTAGACCCCTTGAACGCTCAAAGAAGAGGTGGAAATATTAAGTAGCCAAAACATAGGCATGCTGAAAGCTCCTAAAGAAGACCAATATTAAGGCTAAAATCCTTGTTGTGTATAAAGGCTTTAGGAGTAAGGGAAACTTCTCACCGTAGAACCTCTTTATTCTGTCATCGGCCTCACTGATGTCCATGGGGCGGGTATACTGGGCGGGGACAGACGGAGCTGGAGCGGGAGGCGGAGCACTGGTCAACTCCTGCTGTTCATCTTGGGAGACATTGCCCTCGTAAGTGGAACATGTGTCTGCAGATCAAGTTAATTAGGAAGTGTAGTAGTAGATGTTGAAGCTCAAAATCAAGATAACATTGGCATAACATTGCTGTCTATTACATGTTATTACTAAGTAAATACAATAAAAAAATAAACATTGAAATTTTCATTTGATCATAGTGAAACTCATTGGTGAAATAGACATTTCAATCCCATGAAAATAGTTGTTGCTAGTTTTATAGTTAAGAATAATCTAATTCAATTTAGCCACGAACAGCCAGATGTCTTCCGTATACCACATGTTTAACTATTCCAAACCAACAGGGCAACCTATATTGTAAGTTATAGCATATTTTATGAACCTTACCATATTATAAACATTAATGGAATCTTGTAATGTCAACATTGGGACTCTGAGAGAGTTGTTCAAATATAGTAGGGTTTCGATTAACGTATGTGATCTTCAGTTATCCAACCTTCTATAGTTCCATATCATCTGACCATCCCTTTAAGCTATTAAAAAACTGTGTTATTTACAGGTGGTATGATGGCACCTCAAAGAAGAGGGTAGAGACAACACCTTTTGCACCTACATAGCATACAGTTAGTCAACTCATCATATCAATTATGCTACCTCTGATGTCTTAATCTTGGTGCAAACAGAGTCATTCCGTTGAGTAGGGTAACACTTTATCTATTAGCAAATTAATACAAATAATATTTACTTATATTATTTGTGATGATAGCAACATAATGGAAAAAGTAAGTGGTTTCAAGGCAAACTGCTCGTTTTAAAAGGGCTTACATCATGTTTATAATGTTTCTTTCCTGTGTTTTTAACCTTGCTTTGGCTGGTTTAGGTCAGATAATCGAGGCTCTACTGTATTATCACTTTCTTTATTCTTCTTAAATGTATATAGCTCAATGGAATGTCCACTCAAATACCCAGGTAATGGTTTGACTCACCCAGTGACTTGGAGATGTCCGTGTTGACGTAGAGGGGTGAGTGCTGCGCAGGTGGAGGTGGCGGGGGAGGAGCGGGAGAGCGCAATGGAGAGTCTCTCCCAACGTCTCGGGTAACCTGCGTGTCCAAGTCAGTCTCCAGCCAGCTGCTGTGAATGGTCTTCTTGTGTCCAACGGGGCCCACGCCTGCCACACAATGTATGTCAAAGATAATACAGGAAAGCAAATTTTCAGACTATGAAAATATTTTGAAAAGAGGGAGAAAGAGAGAGTTTAGCTAACTTACCAAGAAAAAGTAGTTGACCTTTTTTTTAAAAATTCCATAGATAAATAAGTAACACCAACTAATATTTTGTAACTGCAGGCCATGAATTATTTCCATGGAATAGCAATGCACATTCTAGAAACTTATTCCACGTGAAATCTTAGGCCAGGCGCACACAGGCGAGTTTGAGTCGCGCAACAGTTGCCCGACTAATCGGGGGACTGTTGCGCAACCCACTCGGAGACTCTGAAGTCTAGCAACAGTTGAGCTGGAGTGTGCACACAAGCAACTATTTAGTCGTGAATCTAAAGCCTTTAAGACGTAAGTTAGACATTACATTCGTTAACAGTACCGAATGGATTTCAATGATACAGCCGTAGTATGTGCTTTGTTGTTGAAGTTGTGATTTTTGATTTTATCCTCTTGTGTTAGGTTGTTCCAATCTTTAGTAACTGCCAAGGACACTTCATCCCACAACTTCTTCAAATTAATATCCGAACAGTCTTTCAATGACTTTAAATATAAAGGCGGCCTCTTGTCAACTTAATCAATTAATTGTTTGACATCCTCATCACGGTCGCTGGCAAATTGGGTCCGGGAACATCGGTTGCAACAGTTGCGCGACTGTCCCTAGACTGTTTCCTTGGTGTGTGCACTCCAATTTAAAACAATGTTGAACATTTTAGTCGGGCAACTGTTGCGTGACTCAAAATCGCCTGTGTGCGCCTGGCCTTAGATTCATTATGAACGCTGATATTTCCAACAACTAGTCATAAGCATCCTCTACAAGCACCTTTGTTGCAAACCAACCAGATTCTTGCATGCAATGTGTATATTAACTTTGCAACCATCTTAGAAAAGTGTCACTGTTCTGATCAGCTCATGTAAAAATGAATTATTCTTAAGACTCAAACTCGCCTGTGTGCGCCTGGCCTAAGATTTCACGTGGAATAAGTTTCTAGAATGTGCATTGCAATTGAAAATATTTATTACATGTCCTGACTAAGTAACAAGTAGAGAAATATATAGTATTTTATGTACCTGGATATGTCATGTAATATCCCATACGGTAAGCTAGGTCAAAGAAAACATAATTAATGATAGAAACAACAGAAATGTATATACTGATACTGATGCACATTTTGATGATTTACAACTCATACATGCAGATACTTCCCCCTTATGTTACATTGACATATTATCAGTAAAATCAGTTATTGTTTGAGTGACTGAATACAATTTTTAAACAGGTGTTATACTCTTTAGCCCCTTCATTGTAGGATACTCAGCTGGACTTCTTCTGACTAGGGTTGCCTTAAGTTCCAATTTTCAAGTCCTTGTTTGATTTTTTTTGTTTTTTTAATGGTCTGGTATCCCAAATTATGAATAAAAAAAAACCTTGACAAAATATAGTGAAATGCAATAATATTGTTTCAATGGAAAAATCATGGCTATCACAAAAACATGTGTCAAAATAAAATTAGAACTCTACAACTGTCCTTTGAAGGTTAAAGGGTAGCTGACCTTGCACTCCTGTGGGGGATGGTCGAATCTGTTGACTGAGAGAGTTGCTGCGTTCTGTCAGCTGTCGAACCTGTAACAACAGAGGGGTGATTTTAACTCACAGAACTTTTCACTATTCCCTACTCACTATTTATTAATTTGTCATGATTGATTTGTAGCAAACGGATTGATGTTTTAATTAATAATTGTTTAACAATTATTTATTAATTTGGCCTAGCCAACAAGTACAAATTTGAATCGATCATGTCACTATCTCATTGTTGTGAGAATAAAATAATTTATAACCCTCCAAATGTCTAATACTAGCAAACTCAGAAGAACAAACTAATTATACCCATCAGCGGCACAATCATAGAAACTGCAGTAACACTTATCTAAAAGTTATTTTAATTGTGTTTTTTAAGGTGCTTAATACGGGTCCCAGCTTTAAAAATTGATATTTCTCTTCAACCTACTCTATGATATTTTTATTGTTTATCGATTAGCTCAGTGTCAACAAATTTCACCCTAGCTGAATCCAATTCCTTCAGCCAAAAAACTCCTCATTTGTCCAATTGTTATATCTTTAAAATATCATTAGATTATGACAAATAATGGCTAAAACCTAGTCAGACAATCCTTGAAATGTGATAAACATGCCTCAGCTAAAGTATTACTTCTTTACTATAGATTAAAGATTATCTGATGATGTATGTTTTATTGTTTTATCCTTAACTTGTCCTATCAAGCAATCCTGGGCCTATAACAAAGGATTATAATACTTAGATTAATATTTTTTTATTTTTCAGTCATACCTGAGAGGACAGTTCCAGCCGTTGTCGCTGTAGATCACCCACGAGACTCTGCACTCGTGCCAACTCCTGCTCCAGCTGCGCCGTGGATGTGACGGACTGGTCCGGCGCACGGCGCGACCACACCAGCTTCTGGCGCAACACCACCAGTTCCTGCTCTAGCCTGGCGTTTTCTGCAACTGTCTCCTCTAGCTTCTATGGGACAAAAGTAGTGGCTTGTTTAACACAAAGCAGTAAGTATGATATTTACTTCAGGCTGACACTCCCTTGTATGGACATAGGATTTATTAAAGTCACTATTGTAAATGTAGCATTCAAGATGAACAAGGAGGAATAGAGATTTGAGGAACTGGTGGGTGAAGTGGCACTTTTTTAAACAAGAGGAAATGCTGAAACACAAGGCTTGAGGAGTGTGTCAATTTTATCAAGATAAAAAAATATACTTTGAACATGAGTTGAAAATAATATTTTCAGTGTTTGGTGAGTGAGAACAACAAAATAAATATACTTAGTAAATGTACTTACAACATTGAAGTCACAATTTCTGTGGCTGGGCTGTATTATTGTGATGACTGGATGAACAAAAAATAAGTACTCTCCATTCACAATTCACATACTAAATAATCATCTTCATTTTAAAACAAAAACAATGTATTTCGTGTTTATTTATAACATTTGACACCTAAGAATTTATTTAAGTTACATACAGCTCATTTCCGCTGTTTATTCTTATTAAATAAATAAAAAACTAAACATAAAAATTGTTTTGTTCAGTTGCCACCAGGGAAGAAAAGTAGTGAGCAAAGTAAAATTTTATCTTTCCCACTACTTTTCCTCACTCCGGATAAGTTAACAACTGAACAAAACAAAATTGCCAGAAAAGTGAGCAAAGTAAAATATTGAGGAATCAGATGTTTTGCAAACTAATTCTTTTACCTTGGAATTGTGGGCCAGGATGGATCGTACACGGCTCAGTTCTCTCTCCAAGAGTCTCTGTTGTCGTCTGTATTTCTCCGCCTCTACTGGGTTGCTGCTGGCCGCCTGCAGCTTGTGTCTTAAGCCTCCCAGGGCTCTCTCTAACATCTCCTGTACAAACATTTGTAGAGATGTGCTATTACATATGAATAAAATGTTACAGTATTATACACTTGATAATCCAGGAAGTTCATGATGTTCTGAGTAGCTAAACGGTTATAGTGCTCACCCAAAATTAGAAGGTTGATCCTAAGAAAAGTTAGTGGCTTTTCGGCAGTTCTAAATCTTAGCTGGCATTGATACAGTGCCATATTTGGGGGATTTGTGGCAATAGGCCAAATTAACACGAGCGGCTACTGCCCCTTAGAGTGTGGCGCTCCCCCTTAGGTTGGACATCATCATTGTCACCGGCAACCTTGGCAATAAATTAATTATTTTAAAATATTAAATTTATTCTATATATTGTATTTGTACAAAATACTGTGCCCCTCCCTAAGCCGCAGTCAGCCTAGTGGTGATTCTGGCACTATGTTGATCATTGGGCTCTAAATTAAATACGGTAGCCCTAACTAAAGAACCAGATCTTATTCTGTAGCAAAGCTCTAATCTCATTAATTCAAACGGAGCCCCCAGCGAACCATAGACGAGTTTATTTATTTACCATCTTATCTGACACAATCCCAAATAATTCCGATACAGACGGGACAAATGCCGATTTTATGGGGAAAACTAATAATATATTAAACTTTTAAATCAAAAAACATGAATACTGAGTTAGCTTTGATGTTATTTTTACTTAACAATCAAACCTTATCTTGTTGTAGACTCTGCAGAGTTCCAGACTCTTCCTGCAGTAACCTGTCCAATCTGTAGAGTTGTTCAACTTTGGCCTGCAATATACAATAAAAGAAACAATCAGTAAACAATAAACATGAAAATAAACATTTCTGTATTTCTTCTTTCTGATTTTTGATTTTCTGATCATGGTTTTAAAGTATCATGGCAGTCTTTAATATTTGCAAACAATTTTGTCTTAAACGCCAGTATGGTACTATTATTTTTAACCAGTAATATTCGACTCTAAAACTTTTCTGAAAACAAAAAGTACAATATAATTTTGCATATTCAATTATTACCTAAGAGAGGCGTTTTAAAGCTGGTGTAATTAATTTTTAAGAGGAGTAATTAGCTAAATTACATAATTTTAGACATCTAAAATATTAGCTAATGAATGAGTTGTAAGCTCTCATGAGTATATTTACATTTTATAATTTATATTTATAGTTTTGTATATTGTATATAATCAAAACAGGTTTTGAATATTAATACAGTAACTAGGCATATACTGTATTGAAACAACAATACAAATTGGCATTACTTATTTTAAGCCAAAATAAAAATAATGAAGGTAGTCTATACAGGACAGGTGTGAAGCCATGTGTAATTTAGTCACTGAAGAATAACAACTTTATTTTTAGCTCTTTGATGTGGGACGTCTTTATTGATGTTCTTTTAGCAAATTTCCCATATAGGGAATAAGCTATTACCATTTCGTCTCATAGTAAGACAATAACGGTTCAAACGTTATTGTAACTTATGTAATTTTCCCGTAAAAAAATCAGAATTTTTTAAAAGCTGGATTTGATTAAAATTAATGTACTATGATCCTATTAATTCTTTAAAAAATAGTGCAATCCCCCATTGCTAAAACAGTTACGGTTCAAAAGTTATTGCAACTTTACTTTTGATATTTCCCCTATAAAATATCATAGTTACTCCCACCACTTACCCATGATAAAGGTTGTTCAGAAGTTAATGGAAAAAAGCATGTGCCAGCTTTATTCCCTATTTAAAAATTGTTCAATTTTATGAATATTAGATTAGCTGTAAAAGGGAAGGTAATAAACAAAGTTTTTTATAATAGTATATTACGTTGCTAGTCCTGAAAATAGGCTAGACAAAGTCAAGTGCAGGATTACCATACGATTCTTGGGACAGCAATACAAAGTTATAATAATAACTAGTGTACATGTTGCTCGAATTCGAGCAATTGCAAAGTATTACAGGAGTTATTTCAAAACGAATAATTTATTCATTTTGATGTATCCAGAGGCAATTTTGAGTGATATTTAATCATAAAAGTAAAACAATTCCAAACTGGTTTGAAGTAACCACTATGATGACTGCCGAACTGGTACGCAGAGAATGGGAAAGAGGTAAATATCTTAAATACACAGTCAGCTCAGTCCAGTTCCAAAGATTCAACCTTATCATTAGTAGAGGGAGCACTACATGAGAACGGCATAAATGATTAAATTGATTTCCAATTCTTTTGTGAAACTTGTTCAATAAGATTAGATTTCACCAGGGTGCATAGTTAAAGGAAAAGACAAGTGTTAAATGGAAAATATGTTATCTTTGCATCTGACTGAGGTCAGCTGGTTCTTTAGAGAGGACTACTTATAAAAACCTAACATTCAAAGACAGCTGGGTCTGGTTTCAAACTATCAAAAAGCTTTAGACTTCTCAGGATTGAACAGGCTACCTCTGATTGGTTACCCGATGCGTGCTAAGTTTCATGTTCCCTATATACCTGTAGTTTGTTGTGGTCTGGACTCAGTCTCTCCCAGTCCCTTCTCTCCTCCGCCAGCAGTCTCCGCTCCTGGACCTGATGGTTGAACTCCAGCCTATCCCTCAGGAGAGGCCCCCCGCCAGGCAGTGGCGCCCCCGCACGGTAGAGAGACCCCAGCTTTACCATGTTGTCCACCAGGTTCACCAGAGGTTTACCCTTTTCATACTGCAACAGATTGCCAATATGTTTTTTAACTGTCTGTCTTTGTTTTAATGTTGGTTACAAAACAAAATGGTTGGTTTGTTTCAGATTGTCCATTTATTGAAATAAAAAAAAAAAAAAAATTAAAATCACCGTTCTGACCAGACTTAAATTTATAAATAATGTGTTAGACATAATATGAAAACAGGTTTTTTTTTAGAGTTTAGAAATATTTTTAAGCGCACTGTTATTGTCGTAAAAAGTGCTGTATATTTTAATTACTTTTAATACTAAAAAAGCAGATGAATATCTAGCTTCATATTTACAAAAGAAGACAACTATGCCTTAATATTCGGTTTCATCATTATATTTGTATATTAAGTTGGAACCCAAATTCATAGTATAGTACTTAACTTCAGTTAACAAACCTACCTTTGGCGTTCAACTGCCTAACAAAAACAGTCTGACTTCTTTGATGATTTGAATAAATATTTATATGCGGGTACGGTACACACATTTCTATTTCTATGTAGGCCCCACACAAAAACGTTTCAAATGAAGATTAAGAATTGTTGTTAAAAAAACTGATTATAATGTCTTTGTGTATTTATTGAAAATAAATTAAATGATTTACTGTTGTAAAAACTAACCGACAATTCATGACAATCGTAAAAAAAACAAAAAACAATCAAAATGGCTTAGTTTTATAATGAAAAAAAAAACCAAATTTCCACACCAGCTTTTTTCATACAAAACAGGCTTGGGTTGAAATGGCTTTTAAGACATGGTTAAATTTATTGGATCGTGATCCGTGAAATTATTTGGATTCTGGTCATAACTAATCTTCAATAATAGAATCACTATGCTACTAATCACTAATGCTGCAAAATAATTTGTTGTAAATAAAGAATTTTTCTCTCTCTCTCATTAGAATGTAACTTATACGCCTACCATCATAAGTTTTATGATTGTAACTGAATTGACAATGCCACCGGTTCTACATCTATTAAACTTTACAATAATCTTTATGGGAAGATAAAATTTGATTTGATTTTAAGTTGAAAACATTTAATCCATAGTGTACAACACTGAAAGTGTAGCTTGGGGAAATTTAGTTTTAACATTAAAAAGTAATTGAATCAGTTGTAGGATAGATCAATATTCAGGACAAACTCACACAAATTAGTTGTCAAAAACAACAGGAAACAGGAGAGTTCAAAGTCAAAGGTTGCACTTTGAAGAAAAGGTTGTAAGAGAAATTAAATTTAGAATGAAAGAGACGACAGAGGCTTACAAAGAGATCACTACATTATACATCTCTCTCTCTCTCTCCCTCACTCTCCTTCAAAGTCTCAACTCAGGTTCCTGCTAAGCACCGCTAAATTATTTAGACACCAAAGAAAACCTTTTGATATCACCTTGAAATTACTTTTACATGTTTGTATGAGCTTCCATCTTGATTTATGTAAATAATTAAGCTCCCTCTTAAAAAGTGTTTGTAATGCCGCTTTTTCAGTATCCCAAGTCTTTAACTACCTATATCAATATGTAAAATTACTTAGACATGCGAGTTCTGAGCTTTTTGTAGTAACACTAGATGTGATATGACCACAACTGGACTAGTTCTCATATTTCAAGCCAACATCACTACTGTTAATTCTTCGTGTTTTGCTGTCAAAAGTTACATTATGTGTGTGACGGGATCAGTATGTACTTTACTTAGTTTAATCTGCTATTTAGATTTTCAAAAGATCATACAAACATTTCTTATGGCTAAATTGTCAATGCATACATGCCACTGAGCGAAACAAAACAAAAAATAATTTAGATTTGTTACCTGTTTTTCCAGTTCAAGCAAATGCCTTTTGAGGTCTTCTAGTTTTTGAAGGTGCTCCATCCTCTTAGGTGTCTCAAGTTCAACCAGTCTTGCCTGGACAAAACAAAAAAATGTATGTTAAAACAAGTTGAAAAGTGTTGGTAATTAAGATTTTATCATATGAATCTTGAATCAACGGTATATCACCACTACAAACAACCATTGACATCAAATTATAGTGAAAATTCACAACTTGTCATATTATAGGTATACCATTATTTATGAAAATATATGAAGGATGACCAGGCTACAAAACCCTAAAAAACCTTAACTATTACGATTTGGTAAGCCACCAAAACATAAATAAAATATCAATTAAGAACAAATCAAGCAGTTCATCAACACAAGCACAGATCAAAACCACAATCCATCATAAATAAAACAAATACAAAACGTACAACGCAAAAGGTATTATATACATTGAAAATGGTATAAAAACAAGCAAAATGTGAGAGATAGACCAAACCTTTTGTAGTTCTTGGGTTAAAATGAAAGTGGAGAAAGTTGTTTACTTCTTTTAAGTGCAAAAGTGATAAATGTTATCACATTTCCTTCCAAAATTACAAGAATAATTAGAAAATACTTATCTTTAAAGTAAAAAGATAATTATTATCATAAGTAACTTTCTCTTTACACCCTTAAGGAAGATTTATATTCTTGTTTCCTCTTCTTAAACTAATAATTTTCGAATTTGAAATTGAGTAATTTAACCCTTAGAGTGCCAGGCGAGAAATAAAAGTAACGCTCAAAAAATGCCGATGATTTTTCCCGAAGGTCGCGCTAAAAATGCCGAGCGCGATCTGGCGATTTTTAGGTTAAAATTTTGTAAAAATCGAATTTTTGATATTTCGACCAACGAAAATCGATGTATCGCATCTAGTAACTTTCGACTCAATGTTAATATATGGGTTAAAAGAATCCGAGTATCCATTCGGTTGTTATGACAACTGTTCGATCATTACGAAACGTCCGGTCAGCCGGACGTTGGCACTTTTGGCTCGTTCTAAAAACGTCCGGTCGGCCGGACGTCGGCACTTTTGGCTCGTTTTAAAAACGTCCGGTTCCCCGGACGTTGGCACTCAAAGGGTTAAAAAATACATACTGTTTTTAAACTATTATCTGTCCAGAACCCTAGCTTTTAATTCGATGGTGGTAACCAACCATGATAGTAGTTGTCTTATGATGTGTTTAACTGATGTACTGACTTTAGACCATATGTGTATGTGAATTAATGATCACCTGTTATTTTGCATTTGTTTTGTTTGTATCAGTTTTTCTGTTTACATAAAAGTATGAGTTTGATTCAACTGAACTAATTTACTTATTATTTGAAAATGTAACATTGGCGACGAGAAAAACGAAGAATGGATGGACAAGAGTTAAATAATCTAAAGAAAGCACGAGCAGTAGTAAAAGGACAGTTGAAGAAGGCAGAAAGATTCCAGTCTCAAGGTAGTCTTACAGTGACTGAGGTGAGTGTTAAACTCAAAGCAATTGCTGACCAGTGGGAACGTTACAAAAGTATTCAGGACCAAATTGATACATTAACCGATGAAGAAAACTTGCACCATGAAATAGAATGTAGATGTAATGTCGAGGATAAGTATTTAAATCTTACAACAAAACTTCAAGAGTTGATTAAGAATGAATGTTCCAACACTAGGTCTACACCACTTCACCCAATCAGTAATCCATCTGAGGCGACACATAGTTCAATTTCCGGGTCCTCATTGTCGGGTAGTATAAATTTTACACCTTTTCACCCAGAGGAAACGGTTACAAATTTCATAAAGAGACTTGAAATATTCCTACACCTTAAAAATCTAAGTACAGATGATAATGCTAAAGTTTACATGCTACTACACGCTCTTACACCCCAGTTACACCAACAACTTTATGATTTATGTGCACCTGAAAACCCACTTACAAAAGACTACAGTGAGTTGGTTCAGATACTTAAGGATTTTGTAGAACCACAGCCAAGTCAATGGGCTTTACAACTCAAGTTTATTTCACGTACTCAACAAGAACATGAATCCATAAATGAATTCTCAATAGCACTTAAGAAATTAACTAGCAACTGTGACTTTAATTGTGATTGTGGAAAGTCGGTTGCGGAGATGTTTCTTAAACTTCAGTTTATTCGTGGTTTGAATGACATAGATATTCGAGCCAAACTTCTTCAAGGACGAGAGAAACGCACGTACAAAGACATTGTTAACGAAGCATCGGCAATGGAACTAGCTAAATCTGAGAGCAAAACTGTATGTCGCAAAACAATGGAACACCTTGATTTGAACAGGGTGGATTCCAATAGTAGTGATAGGAACAAGCCAAAGAAAATGTTGTATCGACAAACATTTCAAGAAACCGGCACGAGACCCAACACAAAATTTGACACCAACACAAAATTTGACAATCTAAAAGGGAAATGTTACAGATGCGGTTCACCTTCTCATCGAGCTAACAAATGTAAATTTATAGATGCTGAGTGCAGAAAATGTACTAAAATATTACACATAGCAAGTGTATGCTTACAGGAAAAGAACCAGACTAACAGAAATTTGAAGCAATACCAGACTCAAGATGGCTCGGAGAAAGGCAGTGAGTATGAACATGAAATTAATGTACTAAGTGACAGACAAAAAGGTAAATTCATTCTTGACATAACGATTGAAGGAAAAACTGTACCAATGGAATTGGATACAGGTGCAGCCCTTAGTACAATGTCCTATGATGATTTTAAAAAACTGAATGTACGTACAAAAGTATTTAAAACCAACATCGAACTTAGAACGTACACAGGTGAACCTATCAAACCCAAGGGTATGGCATTTGTACATTGCTCATACAAGATGCAAAAATTTGTTGGAAAACTCTACCTTATTGACCAAAATGTAGATGCTATATTTGGTAGAGAATGGCTCAGAGAAGTGACAATTGATTGGGCTGAAATAAAAAATGTGAACGCAATACAACCTGAAAGTCTTGATACCATCCTCAGCGAGTTTGAGGAAGTTTTTGATGGTAAAATTGGAGAGATACCTGAGTATCTGGGACACTATAGACTTATTGACGATGCAACACCTATATTTGTAAAACCAAGACAAATACCCTTTTCCCTTAAAAGTAAAGTTGAAAATGAATTAAAAAGACTTGAAGACGGTAACATTATAACAAAGGTTGACCATTCTGACTGGGGAACTCCCATTGTACCAGTGGTGAAGCCAAACGGACAAGTACGAATTTGTGCCGATTATAAAGTAACGCTGAACAGAGTAATAAAAGATGAGAACCACCCTATTCCAAGAATTGAAGAAATCCACTCTCAAATGAACGGAGGAAAAGTATTTTGCACGCTAGATATTTCTAACGCATATCTTCACATGAAAATGGATGAGGACAGCGCACACATGCAGACATTGAGTACACATAAAGGTCTGTACAAAGTTAACCGTTTAATGTTTGGTGTCAAAGTTGCTCCTTCACTTTGGCAACAGTTCATGGACAAAACTTTACAAGGTATTTGCGGAGTGCAATGCTTTTTTGATGACATTATTATACAAGGTAAGACATCTGAAGAACTCTTGAAAAGATTAAAGGTTGTTCTAGAAAGATTAAAAAGTAAAAACTTAAAATTGAACAGAGAAAAGTGTAAGTTTTTTCAAACTAGTCTGCAATATCTGGGACATATAATTGATGCTCAAGGTATTCATAAAACAAAGGAAAAGGTCTCTTCCATCTTAAACAGCAAAAGACCAGAAAACGTAACAGAACTTCGCAAATTTCTTGGATTAACAAACTACTACAACAAATTCATAAAAGATTTAGCAACAATCCTACACCCACTCAACCAACTACTTAAGAAAGACGCACGCTACAATTGGACCTCAAAATGCGAGAATAGTTTTCAAAGGGTCAAATCAGAACTAGCAAGTGATCGCGTCCTTGTACATTATAATCCTGATTTGCCTCTGGTACTAGCAACGGATGCCTCTCCGGTTGGTCTTGGTGCTATTCTTTCACATCGTTACAGTGATGGAAGTGAGAGACCGATAAGTTTTGCCTCACGCAGTTTGACAAAATGTGAACAGCACTACAGCCAAATTGACAAGGAAGCCACTGGCATCTACTGGGGGCTTAAGAAGTTTTTCCCGTACTGTTATGGACGAAAATTTACTCTGATTACTGACCACAAGCCACTCGTATCCATATTCAGCCCCACAAAAACACCACCATCAATATCTGCTACTAGATTATTTAACTATGCACACTTTTTATCTGGATTCGACTACAAAATTGAATACAGAAGAACATCGGATCATGCTAACGTAGATTTTTTATCTCGGTTCCCAACTGAGCATGCTTCAACTAAAGGCAGGGACAACTGTGACCTTTTTCAACTTAGTCAACTCGATTCTTTTCAAATTAGTAGTTCCACAATTTCTAAGTCAACAGCCCACGACAAAGACCTTCAACCAATACTACATGCACTTGAACAAGGTGAATCAGTGGAAGTTTTTGGGTACCATGACAATGAATTAACACTTCAAGACGGATGTATATTCAAAGGATGTCGAGTTCTAATACCACAATCCCTTCGTCGGAAGGTTCTTGATGAACTTCATATTGGACATTTAGGCATGGAGAAAATGAAATCCCTAGCCAGAAGCTATTGTGCATGGAAGAATATTGATCGAGATATAGAACAATTGGCAAAATCGTGCAAACAATGTCGTTTGAAACAAAATGAACCAAGAAAGGAACAAAATCATCCATGGTTAGCTCCCCAGGGACCATGGGAAAGGTTGCATATAGACTTTGCTGGTCCAATGCAAGGACAGTGGTACTTTATTATTGTGGACGCCTTTACTAAGTGGATTGAAGTTATACCTACTAAGAATACTTCTACAGAATTTTGCACAAGAGAACTTAGAAAATTATTTGCTACCTTTGGTCTTCCCATGATTTTGGTTTCTGACAATGGAAGTCAATTTACGTCTAGCGTCTTTGAACAGTTCCTATTAGAAAACGGAGTGGTACACAAAACAACTGCTCCTTACCACCCTTCGTCAAACGGGCAGGCTGAGCGTTATGTTCAGACTGTGAAGAAGTCCCTAAGAGCAATGGAAGACGAGGGAGGGAGACTAGATGTCAAACTCTTCAGAATGCTTATGCAGTTACGTCAAACCTCAAATTCATCTGGCTGTGATGCATACTCCTTGATGTTTGGCAGGAAGATTCGAACACACATAGCTCTTTTACATCCTACACGTAAACAAGAAAATGAACATGTGAAGCAAGCAACACGATATTTTAAGGAGGGAGACAGAGTACAAGCGAGAAATTATTCAAACTCAAAAGACAAGTGGAGTTTTGGAAGAATATTGCAAAGGGAAAGCAACCTTCTGTATAAAGTACAAATGGACGATGGAACTGTCTGGCGGCGTCATGTTGACCAACTACTCAAATGCGAAATAACGTTACCAAAACATTTCAGAGGGGAGAATTGATGTGTTTAACTGATGTACTGACTTTAGACCATATGTGTATGTGAATTAATGATCACCTGTTATTTTGCATTTGTTTTGTTTGTATCAGTTTTTCTGTTTACATAAAAGTATGAGTTTGATTCAACTGAACTAATTTACTTATTATTTGAAAATGTAACATCTTACACGTAGCCTTTAAAACTTATTTCTCGATTTATACCCCAACGTAAAGGTACTGGTAATAAAACAAAAAAGATTATGTAAAAATGTATGCAAGGAATAGTTAAATTAGTTTATCCTCAATGAGTAATTCAATAAAACAATATTGATTGGAACCAAACACAGGAAGAAAAATTTATTCATGCAAATATACATGAAAACTTATGAAAGATGAAGGGAAAAACCATTGCAACAGAGGGGATTAGAATTGGTTCCAAACATAACTACAGATTCTGAAAAAGCCTAAACTCAGGCAATATTTTTGTTGTTAGGAAAGTTTTAACTATATCTGTACATTCATCTTTCATTTATGGTGTAATTTATTTTTTCATAGTCATTTTTAAGTTTCCAAGGGTTGTTATGTCACAATCACCAGAATGAGGCTATGTAAAGGTAGTTAAGCTAGTACAGTGCACCGATCTTAGCACCTTAGATAGTATTGAAGTGCTTAATCATTCTGTCCAAGCAAATAGACTACAGTTCTAGTTTAATAATGAAAAATTACAGTTTTTCTGAGCTAATGACAGACGTTTAGTTTATGAACAAGTAGATAAACAGAAGCCATAAAAATTTTAGCTATAATAATTGATCCAGTGACAGGGAATTAAGCCTGAGACAGGGTGGGCAGCTCTCCAGATTTTTAGCGGATGTAATTAAACACTTTTAAGATGAGTGATCAAATTCCAATATGTATAAAATATTAATCCAAAATCAAATAACTTCCACCATAAGAATATTTTTGTATACCTTCGATAACAAAGTTAAAGTCAATTAATCAGCTTTCTCAAAATTTTCTTTTTGTTATTATTTGTTACTGAAACGTCATTTCTATAAGTGTGAGAATTTGTAAGTCTTGTAAGTGAAAGTGGTATTAAATTGATCAAAATATTAGACTAATGTTATAGCCTACCATATGCTGTGTATTCCAATAGATATTTATAAAATAATTTACCTTCAGAAATATCAATTCAGTTTTCAAAATGTATACAAACCAAAATAAATGTTAAGTAACTTGTAATTTATTACTCTACTCCAACGATTTTAAATAAAAGAATAATTTTATCCAAAAAGTGCATTAAGCCCTTAAGATCTAAAACTGCCACAGACTTCTAACTGGTAAAACAAAACGTCATAGAGTAAGTCTATTTCAATCTCTTAGAACCTTTAAATCCCAGAATTGTTGAAAGCAGATGACAGCTCATGAAGAGAATTATCTGAAACAATTTCTACTGAGGTTATAATTTCTCCTCATTCCTCTCCATCTAAGATGTCCTGCCAAAAGATAAGACGTAGGAAAGAGTTAGTAAGCCAAACCACTAGACAGACCAGAGAAGAGAGCAGAGTTTAGAATTGTTGAGCATGCTGCAGCCCGGACATGCCTTCTGCCACCACCCTGGGTCCTATACCTGGGCCTCAATCTCCATATGACAAGCCTCCATAGCCTTGCAGAAGCCGGCACTTTGCCTCCTCAGTTGGATAAGCAGGAGTACCAACTCCTCATGAGTCCGGCCCAATAATTCCCCAGCACTCAGTTGTAGACTCCATTCTCTCTCAGGCTAGAGTAACAAAACATCAACATGACAAAACCAAACATGAAACTATCACGGAAATTGGGAACAAATAATACTGTATTCATTTCAGTCGATTAACCTTGTTTTACAGTACTAACATGTCCATGGTTTAGTATTACTTTTTGAATGCAAATACCTTTTTCTGTTAATAATAATTTCAATGAATTTTCTACAGCGATCTTACTATTAATACTCTTGTTATTGAGTTCAAGGCACTACAAAAAGAAAACTCAAGAAGTTTTTAAAAAGTTATGGAAAGTATTGAGAAAAACAATGAAGCGTAGATGAAAGTGTGAGTAGACTATATGGATATCAATGGCTAATCACGGCATGTAATCATAATCTGGGGCGTTACAGAAAAGTGGACCATAGGACAATGGTGGCCATCGGCCACGCTACAGCCACACTACCGGCTACGCTACGGCCATGTCCTATACTGTACTTCCTCTGTAGGAGTAGGAATGTGACCTCAAATAGTGTGGGCGTTGTTAAACTCAAATTTAAACATTGTAAATGTAGGGTAGAACCAAACAAAAGGTTCAAATAAAAGAGGTAGGTACTGTAACAAACACATTTTTGATAAAAAAAGTTCTGCAATATGCAATTCAATTTCCAATCTCATTTAGCACTTCCATTGACTTTTGAAGTAAACCTTCAGTCTATACAGACCATTCTGTTGCCAATATTTTATTTTTAAAATGAGCTCCACTCTCAGAGGTGTTAGAGTAAAAAAAAAAAACTATATTTTTTGTGCCTTAGTTTTTCTTATTATAGACGATTACATAAAAGATGGCTAAGGCTTACAACAACCTGCTCTCAGTTTGGTTTAGTTGAAAAGTTGGCGTATCCAACAGAAATCAGTAATTCAAAACAGTATAGGTGGCTTAAATTAACTATGTTTAATTTTATCCTTTAACTGATAACAATTTTAACATGGAAATGGAAGGTTTAATTCCTGCTTTCATTCCTATTATTACATGCTATACAACTTCAAATGCATTGAAAAAAAAATATATAAAATAAAAATACCCTCTTTATTTTTAATGGGTAGCCTATATCAAAACAAATGTTGATTTGATAATGGTACAGTCAGACGAAATAGAGAAAGGATTTAGCCAGGATCATATTAAGAAATAACAGTACTTCAACTAGTTTTTATCATGTATACCGAATTAATCTTCAGGAATGGTCATTTGACATTACAATGTATAAAATCACCAAGGCTAAGTTGTGAATACTCTATAGACCATGCATTTACAGGCAAAATGGTACAATGACTAGTGCAGCAATATTTACTTGAGAATTTTTTTTTTTTAAACTTAAGTACTAAACTAACACTGATGTACTCACCCTGTGTTGGTGTATGAGGTCAGGATTGATGGCGGAGGGTGGCGGGGGCTTGTCTACCACTGGGGCCACTTGTCGCGGGGGCAACGGATCTCTTCCAATCACTGATCCTGAGCCTGACGCTGTAACATGGACAATGTTGTCAATAAATCATCTATAACAGTGTGTTATGTTGACATATTGTATACATCTATAATTACTAGTATACGTTTAACAACTAAATAATGTAGCTATTAATGTTAAGCTATTAGGTAGAAAGAAAACCATTTCAGGTACACTCTAGCCATGAAAGAAATTTGGTGAAACCAATAATATTATTCCTAATATTTCATTAAAATTAAAAAGTTTTGCATTTAAAATACAAATTTTGTATTTTTGAATTTTGTATGAAAAAGAATAATAAAAATTTCTTAAAAAAATGAAACACAGTTTACCCTAGTTAGCTATTACAGGAAGCAAAAGTATTTTTTGGGGTTCTACATATTTATATTATTTACAAATTACAAGTCTGTCAATCAGCCTATCTCACAACTAGGAACCATTAGACCAATTTTGCTGAAATTCTGCACTACGATAACCTGCTTCTCAGGATTACTTTGATACTATTTGAGGAGTAAATATTGACTGTTATACATAAGGAAATATAATTTACTATGTTTACATTTGCTCCTTATAATTTTAGATGAAGCTCCCAATTGTTGTCTACCACAACGCTGACTTATTTGAAATAAAATTTTGTTAAGCTGAGTGAGACAGTTGAGTTTTTATGATCAACTAGCAGAGTACCCGTCCTTCGTACGGGGTTGGAATATATATATAAAATGCTTATTGCAGTTATACTCGAGCTTTGCGTTTGCAATAAGGGAGGACACAGTTTGATAAAATTTGCCTTTTTCAAATTTACAGTATTCTATAGTATTACACATCTACCATAGCCATAATGTTCTACCGCTTCACCTAAACAATAGAGAAAAATAAATTATCAACAATTCGCAAAATATCACAAATTATTCATGAAATGAAAAACATAAACATTACTGTAAACAATCCTACTTTGACAGTTCTCATTGCGAATCAGTTTTTTGTTGCTGCTTAGTTCAAATTAGATGTTATCATAAATGCAAAAAAATATAGTGCTGCACCCTGTTGGTAAATCTTATAAATTTTTAATGCTTTTCCATATCATAGAACCAACTCTTTTAGTTGAAACAGCTGACTAAATTCTTTAATTCCCTTTAAATATGAATAACATAAGGTTAACATGGGGAATTACAGAGCCACTGGGGCTGAGCCCGAAAGGATTTTTGAGATAAGAATATGCCTATATGTTAATCGGGAATGTAAGCTATCATCATGCCAAATTTCAGCCCAATCCGTCCAGTGGTTTATGCGTGATTGAACTTCAAACACACAAACAAACACACAAACTTTCACATTTATAATATTAGTAAGATATTCAACCATTTGTCCTACAAAATTCTCTCCAGCAAACATGGTATGTGAAGCACGAAGCACAGTTAATGCTACTTATTAATTTATAAGTGGTGACGTTAGTGTTTTTGGGCCACTTTTGATTTGGAATTCAACCTCAATAAATCATCAGAAGAAGAATATTTATCATAATCCATGTGATAACACTCTACATGTCAGATTTGCATAATTAATCATTAACTGCTTTGTAAGGTTCTTATGTAAACTGATTTGTGGTTACACTATTATCTTAACAGAGTAAATTTCTCTATGGAGTACCATTTTATTTTTTTAAGTTGTAAAAACATTATTAGCGACGAGTTAAATTGTCGCTTTGAGGATTATAAGATGTTTTAAGGCTTAATTTAGAACATTTTACGTCTAATAATTATACATTTCAAGAAAATAAAACTGTTTAAAATATTCATTAGACAATTTGCACTTGTAATATTTAATTAGAAACTGTGATGCTTTTCGAAGAATGCACAATGCTAATATTTACAAAGAAGTCTCAAAATTTAAAATCAGTCAAATAAAATATTTAGTAGTACAATAATTGTACACCCTAAACCACCATTATTGCGAACATCAAATGGTAAATCCAAAGAAACAATCGGCCGGAACAAATCGATCACAGCTACAACCCGTCTCCCATTAAACATTCAAGTCGATGGCGTGTGTGGCGGGGTCGGGATAATTTGGGACGTCAATATTTTGATCCCGAGGGGCGAATGAGGAGGGGGAGGTTATGGCACTATGGGGTTAGGGAGATTCGAACTCCGGACCGACAATAGATATCTTTACACACCATCCTGTGTATCGGGTGATAAGATACGGCATAGTGTAAGGACCAGAAATAGCGCGTTTATAGGTGTACTTTATATCAGATGTTTGTAATATGTTTGGTCTGGTGAGAGACTGAAATACCTAGACAGATAACGAGATCGACACAGGACGATAAACTCTATAACGGTTTGCCGGCTTGGTCGCAATCTTATCAAAAGACAATAGACAGTGTAATTGTAACTTACAGTATTTATTTATACCTAGATTACACATGATATCGCTGGTGTTTCGGGTGTTTACTGTTTATAGCGGGAAGTGAAGATATTGCATCATTATACTTTGTATTACCGACACATTTTATTATGACCTTACATTTCGCAGTATATGCATGAAAAAAAAGGTTTGAAAAATTTATGTCCAAATTAACACGTTTTAGAGTACAAGAACACTGTCCATTTTTTAAATACTGTACAGTACATGTTATTATCTGTTAACACCATTCAATGTGGTATCAAACAATTGAAGAATATAAATCAGTCTAAAAAAAGATTGGGACATAAATACGGGTGTCAATGGCACTTCTTAGGTTAGTTTTACTGAAGCGCTAGCAGATCTGATGACGAAGGGTGTGGGGGGAGGTGTAACTTTCTTTGTCATCGAAACCACAGAGAAACAAGTAAATAATACAACACCACTAGAGAGAAATAGAGAGCCAATCGATTGTACTCTATGGCTTCGTCAACGTGGTTGTAACCTCAGCTGTTCAACTTTAACTACTGTGAAGTGAATATGACCCGAGAATCACTGATTAGGTACACAAAGGTAAAAAGGTCCTGTTATACGCGGATAGCTATTTCGTAAAGAAAGTGAAGAATGTAGCCTACAACTATCGTTTAGCTCTTTGTAAAACCTCAACTTTCCGTCACTGTGTGGACTTCTGATTTGCGCTGAGATAAGTACCATAAAGATGTGATATACTGTAAGTCACTTGGACAAGACAGGCACTATACACCGATGTTTAGCTATTAATCTCAGACGCTACCAATGAACTACCGACTACCGTGTTCGAAAAAATAGTAGTTGCTTTGATTGTTTTGCCAACATAACGGATTACACTACCGTGCTTCTAGCAACCCTCCATTTTTGAAACTCGAGTATATATATTGGATAAACAGTATAATAAATTTTTCTGACGTGTCGATTTTAATTACACTAACCAAACTAAGTGAATATACTTTTGAATATTGTCTGCTCTGACAACTTTTCTTGGTATTAAAATGAAGCCGAGTGTAATGATCGTAAACATAAATGATGCCTCTTGATGTTCTGAACTCAATTATGATATAAATGGCACTTTCTGGTAAAATGTAACAAGGACGAACTTGATGATAACTAGCCAAGAGTTTGGGCCGTTCCCTCGAGAAAAAGAAACTGTAAAAAATAGAACTGAAGCAGATAACAACAAATCTAATAGTTAAGAAGGGAATTTTTTGCTTCAATATCGTTGTTGAATAATATTATTCCTATAAACTCAAGCGCTATTGTTTATGCATATACTGTTACTGAAAAACATTTTTGGGATAGGTAATCTTAAATTTTATTCGTTAACCAAAGTATTTCAAACACAGTTTCCACAGAATATTACCATATTTACTAATCATAACAAAACTTCACTACAAATCCGTTAGAAGCGATTAAATTGAACTCCCATCATAACAATAACATTCGAATCGAAAGTAGGGCTTTGTCATGAGAACTGTTTGTCGAATTGGATGGAAATGGCGTTATTGTGGGAAAACTATTCAATTAAACCAGCGACTTTCGCGGGAATCAGAGAAACGTAACGAGAATAACACTATTTTACGTCTAGTATCCATTTTGCTTCACAAACACCTTCCTTGTAACGTAACAGGTTGAAGGTAAGATCTTGTTTGACCATTGACTTTGTATCGAAGAAGACACCAATCTCCATCAGCTGTAGCCAGTTAAAATATTTTTTTTTTACTTTCAAAGAGAACATTATTGAACGAGCCCCAGTCCCTAGTGTGTAAGTATTTAAGTTGTAGTATTCGTGGTTTCCCCCAAAGTATTCATACTAAGATAGTTGATGAGGGTACCTATTAAAGATTTAGTTTAGAATAAATTCTCCGTCCAGTTTGGTACGGTTTAAGAGAATAGCTTTAAGATGAAATCAAAGAAGAAATTGAATTATACTGTAGCACACTATGTCGCTAGGTCGGTTAAATTTTTTTATTATTTTTATTAAAGTGGCTAAAAAAACATTCATTTTTTTTTGTTAAACTATAAATGTACTTTACAGTAATAATGAAAGTTGTACACGAAGTTTTAAAGTTGATTTTAAAATGTAACACACTGGACCTTTGCTGTAGTTTAGTACAAAGGTGTGTTGGCTGCGGTCAAATGACATTTCTTTACCTTTGTTGGTGGAAATAATTTGATTGTAGGACAAACCTCGTTGCGGTTGCGCGAAAGGCAATTTTGTGTAGCATAGCATTAGCTGTACTGATTGTGTTAGCAACCCCCCAGCCTTCCTACTTATGATAAAATTGAAAATTTCATGAACCCGTTCGAACAGATGTTTTACACGTTTGAACTAAATTTTATCGATATTGGATAGTTTTTAAGGACGTAACTTACATATTATACAGACTGAAATTTGGCAATTTTGAGAAAAATCTCCAGTGACTATACGAATTTGTGGGACGATTTCCCGCTATTTCAACAATACACAGCTGCAGAGACTCTGAACTATCCGATTTTGTGGGATGATTGTGCCCGATCTCAACAATGCACGATGACGTAGAGAATGCTGTTAGTGTATGACGGAGGGAGGGGAGATAAGCCA